TTTGGGGGATATATCATATATATTCCTCCTTTGGTGGGGTTAAGCTTCCACGTTGCCTGTTTGTAAAAGGCTCTCTGTTTTTTTTATTTTATTTAAAATTTATAATTATGTTAAGTTGAATGCAAAAATAATATCAAAAAAAGCTAGCCAGTAGAACGACCTAAAGGAGCATCGAACTCGGGCCCTTTTACGAAAGAGGCATGCGCTCCATCCAACTCCCTTGAAAACGCTGTTGTGCAAATATCCAGACGCTATACTATATATACGATTCATATAATATTAATATATATATATAATATAAAGAAATTTTTTTAAGAATCGGAGGCCCTGTGCGGTGGCGCCACTTGCACCACCCCAGGGCCGCCCCTGATTACATCATGTTCACAATATGGCTAGATGAAGAGTAGTATAATAAATATATTTATGTAAAAGAATGGGCATCCCTCTTTAGTGTTTTAAGCGCCATTTCTTGGTGTCTTCCCTTCTTGGTTATATGTTGTGCTTCGGAAGACTCATTTTAGTTTACGACCACCACCTCTGCACTCATTCTCCTTCTCACAACCTCTGTTATAAGAGTGGGATCGTGAAGGCATGCACGTTTGCCCCTTGCATCCAAACGGCTGATCACGGCGTATTGTCCCATAACCGATATATTTTGCATTCGTCATTTCACTGCAAATCGAGCACACCAAGAGAGCAACAATGCAAAGTGTAAATGTCTTGGAGATGGCCATTTGATCTTAAAAACAAATTACAAATGGCTCTAGAATTGGATAATGAGGACTATGAGAGAGAGAGAGAGAGGATTTTGGAGGAGATGATGAGTACGAGACTGAGAAACCTTCTATTTAATGTGATTTTCTTTGCCAACTTTAGGCAATTTTGCTGGGGATTAAACGTGAATTGTTATTTTTTGTTATTGATTATTGGTGTGGCTCAAAGAGAAATGCTGGTAGTATACCTTTAATTGGACTTATGGTTTTGAAAAGCCAAATTTAGAAATTACATTCAACTTTTTCATATTGGTTCTTCGGTAACTAGAATGAAAAGGTTCTACCAAGCTACCAAAATGTGGAATTTTACTCTCTATGTATATTTGTGCGATTTTTATTTTTATAAGATAAAAAACTTATACGAACTCAAAGTCAAAATTGTAACCTAAAAAGAAACAAACAAACTGTAATTCGCATAAAAACTTTATAAAATGCATCAAAACATCACTTGTCATGCATTCTTCCACTTCCACCCTTGTGGGTAGAGGTTCAGACCCAAGGCACCTAAGGAATATTTGTGCAAACCCCTTTTTGCCATTCGGTTGTACAAAAAAATATTAATTAAAAATATCATGTTATAAATACCACCAAAAGAAAACAATTCAAAGATGCGTACTTGTACTCACATAATATGCGATAATAAAAAATTGCTGCATTATTGGACATGTTCAAATGTTACATGTTTTCCGGATTGAACAAGATTTAGACCTACCAAAAGGTTGTAACTTTGGTATTTTATCAATTTAAAAGATTCATAAGAGAACGAGTCCGTTATATAGTACCAACAAACAAATTTCCGATGCATAGAACATCTCACATGAAGTGTTCACAAAAAAAGTGTTGTATGGTGCTTCGGACCAACATTGGCATCGTCCTTAGGTTGGTTATTTTAATCTCAATGTCGATGGTGCTTTGGATTTGCGGGATGGTCTTCGAGGGGTCTGTTTGATTGTTCGGGACTCACATGACATTCTTATACAGGTGATGGCAATAAGGGCACCTAGTCTCCTGTCTTTGTTGGCTACTGAGCTTTACGCTCTCAAAGTGGGTATCTCTTTTGCCTTAGATGCATCGCTTCTGCCCTTGATAGTTGAATATGACTCCATGGCTATAGTGTAGTTGCTATAGAAAGAGGATGAATGTTTAACTCCTGAGGGAGTGCTTGTGACTGAAATTCGGCGTCTTCTTCTGGCGTTATCCTTCTGTGTTCGTTTTGTCCCCCGTACTACCAACAATGTGGCTCATTGTATTGCATGTTATAGTCTTCGAGCAGAGGAGCTTTGTTATTGGTCAGGTGATGGACCTCCCTGGGCCCCCAGGCTTCTAGATGACGTTAGGGAGGATAGGTCTCATTTTGTCTGACTTTGTAATAGGGGTGTTGACTCTTCTGTTTAGTCATTAGCAAGGGTGGTGCTATTTCCTACCCCAGGGTTTTATCCTTTGTGGTTTTTCCCGGGAAGGTTTTAACGAGATCACCATTAACATACTTGTTCTTACTATGTAATGTTCTCTTTGGGTTGAATGCAATACCATGTTCTCTAAAAAAAAAAAGTTTGGGACTGGGGTTTAGCAAGTAATTTTGGTTTTTTTTAAATTTTAATTTTTTTGTGTGTGCTTGTTTTTCTATTTTATTTAAGTCTTGTTTTTTTTTCCTTTTTGAGTCACTTTTCTGAACAATATGATGAGATTGTGATAAATGTTTACATAACTTGAATGAAAGTTTGATTTTAAAAATTAAAAATTAAAAATTCACTTAATGGCATTTTTCTAGCTTGATATGTTTGAAAACCTTCTATGCACTTGCCATTTGTTTCATAATTCTCCAATTGAAGGAATTGCATGACCCAAAGAATTGTATCAAGCTTAAATTAGACTTGTGTAACCATATAATGTGAGCTTTTGAGCCTTGTGCTTGAATTCATGAGTGTTATACACGTACTCTTATTTTCTTGTCATCTCAGTTGTTGTTTGATCTCATTATTCATTGATTTGGTTGAGCATTTAAAAGTCATTCACTCTTATGCAATTTGATTACATGACATTTAAGAAATGATAAGGCCCTCTTTAGATCGTTTATGCCTTTCAAGCTAACCTTATGGATGCTTAAGCATTATTTTCCATTGTTAACCATTTTGAGCCTACATGTAAGCCTTTTCTTTCATTTAACCAATTATATTTCCTCGTCTTAGCCTGAAAAACAAGTATTTACCTTTCCAGGGAACTCATGAGCTTTAATTTGGATATGTTTTTCATGCTAAGTTTGGGAAGGGATGTTACATAAAAAAAAATTGAAGAAAAAAAGTTTGGGTTTGGTGTTATGTGGATTGTGAATTCTGTTAAATTTGCATAATTTGGTTTGCATTGCTATACAACATAGTGTATTCCTTATTTATATTGACAGCATCACTATCGTATTGTCCAATTATTGCCTTACGATTGTCATTATTTGTACTTTTGTTGTAGTAGTATTGCTATTGCAATGTAAACTGTGTATCTACGAAATGAAAAGGCTTGGAATGGTTACTCAAAATGGATCCCCTACATAAAAGTCCTTCCAAGGTGAATTGCTATTGCAGTTACTGTGATACTCCTACTACACATTCTTTTGTGATTACAAATTCAAACGATGCATGGGGCAAATGTAGAGCAAATACAAGGTGAAGTGTCCTATGTGTTTGACTGGATATAGTTGCTGAAAAAGCATTAGGACTATTAACCTAAACAGATTCCTCACATCTTGACAAAAACACTCTTGAATTGAAGGAATGTGCCCAAGCCAGTCCCAAAGCTGGACTCACCCTTCTGCCGCAAACACTCTAACTTTCCCAATCTCACCCCATTGATTCCATCATATGGCTCAATAAAATCCACTGCCTAGTTAGTCAGAACCACCACCACCCAAAACTTATTTGCTAAAGCCTTCAATGTCCCAGATATCTTGAAAAACATTTCAGACCGAGGTTTCAAATCTGTGGGTGTTCTGTCATACTATGACCAGAACAATGCAACAATGAAATCAATGACAATGAGCTTCACTATTGAAGGTGTGTAATGTAGACCATATGTCATTTAAGGGATGTATAAGTCAATCAAATGGCAAGGTCTGAGGCAGTACGTACCGCAATAGGATCCTATTGCTACTATATTGTGCTCTTATTGGTGTCATATTGCCATTATATGTAGGTGTATTGTGAGGTTATTGCCGCTATAATCATTTGAACTGGACATGGGCAAAAGAAACTATATACTCACAAATACAAAAAGATGCATCATAATTCTATCAAGTCCAATTTGGAAACTTAGATAAAACAAAAAGAGGCCACCACATAGTTACATGATACAAAAAGAGGTCACCTCATATTTCCATTTTACATACTGTTTCCACTACATTTTATAGCCTCCAAAGTCATATTACAAGTCAAAGGTTTCCTGCTATGGACACATTCGGAGTTGCATACTTTTCAATTGTGGCGACTATGACCCATCAAATTCATGACCCCGCTCACAGTGATGTTGTCCCAGTTTCCTTATGGATCCATTATTTTTACAAACTTGTGAAATAGTTCAAATCCAATTTCCACTTGTTTTGGCTTCAACTGGGCCATTTCGTGAGATTCCTTGAATACCATAACTGCAGTGGCAGGGGTATTTACAATTTTTTGCTTTCACACCCTTTATATGTAGGAGATGCATCCGGGCATGATAATGAGAGTGAATTGTGCGTTTTTTTATGACCCCACCTAGCTTGGCCCTCAAAAATTTGTGAAATTATGTATGCATGGAGATTTTCCCAAAACATGGTAGACATTGCAGTAGCCCATGGACCAAGTGCGCAGTCAGTGAATTTGCTGACTTTGCTGGTGTTTCAGTCTCCCCTCCTTCAATAATTGAAAGTGTTGGGTTTGATGTGGGGTTAGAGTCCATGATTTTTGGGTATTTATTCTGAGTTGGTGTCGGACTTAATTGGGAAAAATTAGGAGTTACTGTGATGTGAGTTGTAGGACAAATTTTTGTAGGTACCCGGTACACCAGCTGGCTGGTGTACCCACCAATGAGAATGCGACACGTGTAATAATTTATTTTTAGCCTTAAAATTGCAGTAACTTCTAACTCCATTAGTCTTTTAACTCCGTTAGAGTCTACTCACTCTTCTGAACCCGTATGAAGGTCGGCCCAATTACCCAGACTTGGTTTTACAGATACATACAAAGACGTGGTAGATCCCATCCCACTCCTTGTGGTCTAATTCCATTTACTATTCCATCAATCTCAAATAAGGTGTGATGTTATTAAGAAATTAGGAAGAAGAAAAAAAAAAGAGCTTTCAAGATGTGCAGAATAGCGGAGGAAGGAGAAAGAAGGCATCAGTCACAGGCGGTGGCTGCCGGAATATTCTAGATCAACACTGCCGTTTCCACTTTCTGCCGACTGGTTGATGCTATCGACATTGCCAAGGACACTCTTGACCATCGCCAAAAGCTGTGCGTCTCTCTCTCTCTCTCTCTCTCTCTCATCACTGCTTTTGAATCTTGATCTGCAATTATTAACATTGTTCTCCCTGCATCTTCTGACATTTCTTTCTTTCTAAATAAAAAATCCATCTTTTTTGTTGTTGATAATTTCAGCCCAGTAAGCAGGTAGAAGATGCCAAGCTTGCAAGGGATTTCCAAACAACATTGCAAGAATTCCAGAAAGTTCAGCTCTGTGCCTTGTTGGCTTACCTCCAGTAAGCAGGCTGCTATCCCAATTTTTCAATTTTATTTGCAATGATTTGTATGTGTTTTCTGGGCATATTGTGTTTTTATTGCCTTACATATTGCTCCGCTATTCATTTTGTACTGTATTATTCTTGCTTTTGTATATGACTGTTTTATTGTTTTCCTTTTTCGTCATTTGGAATTTCCCTATTTTCGTCCTTTTTCAGATTTTGTCAATCTTTGTCTAATTTGCGTAAATATGGAATTTGGCAATTTCCTAGTGAGGTATTTTTTTGATTTTTCAATTTTTCAATTTCGTTTTTAATTTTTTTCAAATTTCCAAATTGCTTAGTTCCCTACTCCATTTTTTTCCATATATTGACCTTATATTTGGTTGTTATATCTGTGATTATTAATATATTTACAGTTGAAGATGTTTTCCTAAGATCCTATACAACGAGTATCTATTGCGTTTATATTTGCCATTCGCTAGCATCTTTATTGTGTCTGTATTATAGGTTTGTCTTGTTTGTATTGCATGGATCTGACCTTTTATTGAGTCATTAGTGCCTTTGTATTATGTACTGCACTATTTTGTTATTATAGGGCTGTTTGTTTGCGCCTTTATTGTGTATGTATTGTGGGTATGTCTCGTTTATATTGCCTTAATCTCGCTTTCCATTGCCTCGTTAGTGCCTTTTTATTATGTACATCACTATTTTGTTATTTTCGTTTTTCGACATTTGGAATTTCCCTATTTTTGTATGTTTAGAATTTTGCAATTTTTGAGTTAGGTTTTTCCAAATTTGCCTTAATTCCACACTTACCAATTTCTCAGTAAGGTTTTTTTTTTTCTTTATAATTTTATTGCCTTCATTCTAATGCTCTAGTTTACACCAAATAAGTAATTGGTGTACAATGCAATCCCATCAAATTAATGCCCCAACTACATACCCAATTGCCATTGGTGTAGAGCTCTAACTAACTCCTTGAATAAAATATAAAATAGACAAGTTGCTATGTATAAGAGAAACATAGGCACCTTGTTAACGTCAGGTCTGGGAAAGCTAATCATTCTCAACTTACTGTAGATTGAAGCTAACGTTTTATTTTTTTAAGACTAGAGCTGTGAATTGTCCCCACCAATAGTTGAAGATATCGGATGTACGCCTTCCAAACGACCATGTAAGTTACTCGAGAGACCAACCGTGGCATGTGCGGTTCCCATCTCCACCTCTAACTCCAAATCACGATCCTACTTCATCTGAAAGTGAGGTTGAGAGCAATAATCCGGTTGACAAAATCTCATAAGTGAAGCACGACCTCCAATATTTGTCTAAGGCAACAGATTGGTGGGAGAGCAAATGTGATATTCATTGCCAAGTTATGGGAAACTTAGCCACAACAAATTCAACAAAGCATATGCTAAGTGACGCAAACTCTAAAAGCAATAAGTCAGAGCATATAGTTAGAGTCCCTCAAGTTAAAATTGGAAGAGACAAAGAAATATGTTGTCCAACAATTCTCAAAATTTGAAGAATTTAGGGAAATAGCTCAAAATGCCACCCTTTTTATAATTTTAACTAAAAATACCACATCTTCTCAATTTTTTTGCAACTATCACCTATAAATATATATTTATTGTCCACTTATTGCACACATATCACTTTTTCTGAAATTTAGTTCTCTCTCAGCTCTCTATTCATTGTCTCTGTGTTCGCTTTCTCTTCTGAATCACGAACCCCTCCCTCGACCCCATATTTAAGGTATGTCTTCTAAATAGCTGCTTGCAACCTTGAAGCTCTACTAGATTGCCGACCTTGAATAGGTAGTGTTGATGGTTATTTTCTTAATATATGTGGGATTTTGTGAAATTGATTTTATTTTGATTGCTTGGGTTTTTGTGAAATCGGTTTTGGCTTCAATTGCTTTCGATTAGGTTTTTTGAATCTTCATGCTCATCCATTTGTGTTTTTACCAATTGCATTTAGATTGCTCTGGATATGTGAATCTTGAAACTTGGGATTTTCCATTTGATGTAGAAGATCTGTATAGTGTGATTGTGATAGATCCTTGTTCACTGTTGTGTTAGTGTTATATTGTTATTGTGTTCCTGTGATTTTGCTGTCATATTGCCGTTATGTTGCTGTTATATTGTTGTTCTATTGCCATTGTAGTGCCTAATTATTGTGGTTGTATTGTGTTAATGAAATGTTGTTTTGTCATGGTTAGAAATGGAGACAATTGTTATTCTGGTTTGCTACAATGAAAAATGGGTAACCTCAAAGAAGATGTGCAAATACGAAGGGGGTGACTCAAAAGGCTTAATAGTTCCACGAACCATCACATTTGCTGAACTGTTGGATCGTGTACATCAGATTGGTAATACAAACAGTAGGGAAGACAAGGTTTCCAATTTTATTTGCAGCGCTTTGTATGTGTTTTTTAGCCATATAATGTTTCTGTATTTTCGTTGTTCTTCAGATTTTGTCATTTTCAATCTTTGCCTAATTTGAGTAAATTCAGAATTTGGCAATTTCCTAGTAAGGTAATTTTCCGATTTGCCAACTTCGCAATTTTGTTTTGTATTTTTTTTTTTCTAATTTACAAACATTGCTTAGTTACATAGTCCATTTTTGCCCTGAAATCCACAATTTCCAATTTTCCATTAAGGTTTGGTTTTTTTTTTTGGTTTGTAATCCAATTTTATTGTTGTCATTGTAATGCTCTAATACTCTAACTTACAGCCAAGGAGCAAATGGTGTACATTGTAATCCCATCAATTTAATGCACCAACTACATACCTAATTTAGTCATATATAGAGATGTAACTAACTCCTTAAATAGAATATAAATTAGAGAAGTTCCTATATCACTGAAGCTTCGTATATATAACCGAAGCATAGGCACCTTCTTAACGTCATGTTTGGGAAAGGCAATTATTCTTAGGCAATTATTCTTACTCAAAGGCAAACATTGTCCAGTAAAGCTGACCATATTGTTGTTTACAAGTTTTCAAAACGTAAACTGGAGATTGAATGTAGCTTCATTTTTTTTTTTTTTTTTTTTGCAGATTGCAGCTATGAATTGTCCCCTACAATACTTAAAGATATCGAACGTACACCCTCCAAACGACCATGTCAGTTACCTGGGAGACCAGCCATGGCATGTGCTGTTCCCATCTCCACCTCTAACTCCAAATCACTATCCTACTTCATCTGGAAGTGGAGGCTGAGAGCAATGATCCGCTTGACAAAATCTCTGCCGTGAAGCACGACCTCCAATATTTGTCAAAGGCAATAGATTGGTGGGAGAGAAAATGTGATATTCATGGCCAACAAGTTGAACAAAGCATATGCTGAAGAAGTGAAGCAAACTCTAAATGCAATAAGTCAGAGCAAAGAGTTAGAGTCCCTCAAATTAAAATTGGAAGAGACAAAGAAATATGTTGTCCAACAATTCACAAAATCTGAAGAATATAACCATGAAATGGTTGAATGTTTCAACAATGGCTTCGAGATGTTCCGAGATTATACTTCGGTCATCTCACCAGACTACAATTGGAGCGAAATTGATGTAGCTGGTGTCTGGCAGGTGGTGAATATGGGTGGAGAGGGAATGACTCATCATAACCTCGTGCATGCAGAGATGATGAAGGCCAAAGACATGGATCTTTTGATGGACCTCTAAAAATTTGCGTTTTCCATGTTTTGTGCAGCTGGGTAAGGGTGAATGCTGGTTTGGTTGATGTTGTGTTGGGTGATGCGATGGGAAAGTATTGCCTTCGTTTTCCCTTTGCTGGATAATATTGTTAGGGTTCGATGGCTATTTATTTTGTATGTGTAAAATGTAGTCTGAAATGGATGTCTACGTATTGTATGTAGATTGAACTAATATTGCCATCCTATTGTGTGTGTATTGTACTAATATTGCCACTATATTGTATATATCTATTGTACGAATATTGCCGCCCTATTGCCTGTATATTGACATACTATTGCTATCGTATTGCAAAAAATATTGCCCTGATATTGCTACTCTATTGCATGTATATTGGCCTAATATTGCTACCTTATTGTATGTATATTGACTAGGGCTCGTCAATGGATTTAGGGTTTAGGCTACTTCATTCGAAAAGAAGAAGAAGATGAGAAAGAAACAACATGCCTTTGAAAAAGATGCACTCGGCTGTATCATAATTACACCGTAACCCGATGTCACAAATAATTTTATCAAATAATAACAATGAAAAAACTATTTACAAAACAAAAAAAGATGGTATTAATAAATATGCAAATGCTTGGTGATGGGTTGGAGAAAAGCATGATTATATTTGGTGGTGTGATTATGTTTGGTGAAATGATATGTTGTTCGTCTTATTCTTCATATATGTAATTGCTGTATTAATAATTGACACAAATTAATCTTCTAATCATCCAATTATAAACTAGTAATGAGTAAAGAAAAGTGAATTAAATGAAACAAAACAAGGAACCCAAAATAAACACAAACAACAATTTCTAGCACCCTTTTATCGCCACTGTAATCATCCAATTATAAACTAGTAATGAGTAAAGAAAAGTGAATGAAATGAAACAAAACAAGAAACCCAAAATAAACACAAACAACAATTTCTAGCACCCTTTTATCACCACTGTATCCCTACGGTAGTTTATCGCGTTTTAGGCATAAACGAATTATGCACTTCCTCTGTTTTTCAGTTTTGACATATCTCCATTTTTTGACCTTTAACTTTTTAACCAATTATGCAAATTTTGTGTTATGTATATGGTTGTATTCATCACAGAAAAATGAAGAAAACTACAAGGACCAAATGTAAAAAATGGATACAAAAATGAACAGAATTTAGTGGAAACAAACACAACGTTTCAAACAAGTAAACTATTATACCTCCATAAAGAGCAAGTATATTTATACATCGAGTTGTACAAAATAGTTCAACTTCACAATGTACATATTAAGTATGTTAACCACAACGGCAATTGGAAAACAAAAACCCAATTTGAAAACCAAATGACAAATACATCCCTACTGGTATTCATTACACGTACTACCAAAATGGGTTTGACAAAATTAAAATTGATGCATATTCGTACTCCAAATGGAGGACAATTAATCTGCCATGTGTACAAAATGGAAATAGTTCATGTGCCATGTAAAGCAATTAGCCATCGCCACCGACATTATGGATCACCATATAAAGCACCTCCGGCATAGCTTCCATGTGTGCATATTCATATAAAGGATTTTCCGAAATAATGAAGGGGCAAAGTGAATTCCCAAATAATAAGGGAAGACTGAACTCAATTGACAAACATTATCATATTTACCTCATATATACTATAAGCATAATATGAAGTGTAATCGTTGAGAACCCTGTCAAATTCCACTTCCCTCAATGTTTTGATACTTGCTTTTATACAACTTTTACATATCCAAATAATGGCTTCCTACTCCATATGCAATTTCACAATAAACATATATACACATATGTATATGTTGTCATTATGATATATTTCAATATCTTGAAGAATGACCTACAATTTCCCTCTTTGAATGAAAAAAAAAAAACAAATAGGAAACACAGACTTCAATTGCATAAATCACTAAAACCATTAAAACCATAATGGAATGGGAAAAAAAAACCTATAGTAAACTAGCAATGCAACAACACTAAAATGCCAATACAAAACCACTAAATTGGCAATACAATAGCAAAAAACAGCACAAAAACATCAATAACAACAGCAAAACAACTGAATTCCAAATCAAATGCAAGAATCAACTCACAAAGAACAAACCCATTCAATGTTTAAAATAAGGAATCATCAGAATCAGACAATTTCAAAGAAATTCCTCAACCTTAAACCAATTTCAGACAAACCCCTAAACCCTAAACCAATTTTAGAGAAACCCCTAATCCAATTTCAGAGATACCCCTAAACCCTAAACCAATTTCGAAGAAATCCCCAAACCAATTTCATAGAAACCCATAAACCCTAAACCAACTTCAGAGAAACCTCCAAACCAATTCAAATTGATGATGAATAGTACCTTTTGTAGGTGAATGATGGAAGAGGAAGACCACTGCGTTAGAGAAAGAGAGAGCTACATGAGAGAGAGCAGCGCAAGAGAGGCCGAGCGCTTCCCGCAACGGTGAAAGAGAGAAGAAAGAGTGAGAGCTGATCGAAGAGATAGTGAGACTTGAGCAACGAAGACAAAGAGAGCTAAGCGACAGAGAGGGTGAGAGGCGCGATAGAGAGAAGAAAAAAAAAATCAGCGAAAGTGATATGTGTGCAATAAGTGGACAATAAATATATATTTATAGCTGATAGTTTTAAATTTTTAAGGGAAATGTGGTATTTTCAGTTTAAATTATAAAAAGGGTGGCATTTAGAGCTATTTCCCAAGAATTTAACCATGAAATGGTTGAATGTTTCAACGACGACTTTGAGATGTTCCGAGATTATGCTTCAATCGTCTCACCAGACTACAATTGGACCAAAATTGATGTAGCTGGTGTCTGGCAAGTGCTGAATATTGGTGGAGAGGGAATGCCTCATCATAGCCTAGTGCATACATCTAGGAAGAAGACCAACGACATGGATCTTTTAATGGACCTCTAATAATTTGCATTTGGTAGGATTTGTGCAGTTGGGTGAGGGTAAGTGCTGGTTTGCTTAATTTTGTGGTGGGTGATGCCATGTTAATGTGTTGTCTTTGTTTTCCCTTCGTGGTATTATTAAGGTTGGGTGATGATTTCTTTTCAATGTATAAATTGAAGGTACTCTAAACTGGATGTCTGCGTGTTGTATGTTTATTGGCCTCATATTGCCACCTTATAATACGTATTTTGCGTTTGTATTTATGGTTTATTGTGCGATTGTAACCCTATATTGCCTATATATTGCATAACAATGACGAGCCACTTTTATACCTCCATAAAGAGAAACTATAGATCTGTTTATATATCGAGTTCTACGAAATAGCTCAAGCAAACAATCTAAACAATAAGTATGCTAACGACGACGGCAACTCCAAAAAAAAGCACAATTTCAAAACCAAATAAGAAGTAAGTACATTCCTAGTGGTATCGATTAGCTGTAATGACGAATTTCGTTATACAAATTTAAAATTGATACATATTTCTACTACAAAATAAGTACAATTTATCTGACATGTCTACAAAATTGATACAATTTATCTGTCATATTTACAAAATTGGTACAATTTATGTGCCATGTAAGGCAATTAGTTGATGCTACCTAATGTATGATATTACCTATCACCATGTACAACATGCCCATAGACCCTGTAAATGCTTTCAATTTGCTACACAGAATGACTAAAGCAAATAGCTCTATGAACCTAGATGGATCACCATATAAAGCAGCTCCACCATAACTTCTATGTCTGCATATTCATAAATGGGAAATTGTATATCCAAAAATTAAACTCTTAATTTAAGGAATTAACTGCATTAACCAATCATAATTAACATGAATACAGTTTGGGATGCTAGACACTCACTGTTCACAAAAACCAAAATAATTCAATTGACACTGAATTCCCAAGTGAGTACTTAAGACTGAATTCTATTGAGAAATATTATCACATTTACCTCATACATACGCCTCCCCTCCCAAAGCTTCTATTGCAAGCTTCAATCAGTAATAGGCAAACTTGGATGGGTCAATTGTATTCAAAGAATTGCCGGCACTGAGATACTCGATGAATTTGATTGTCATAATTCCGCATGAGGTATTGTCCGGCCAATAAGTTGAGAAATTAGAACTGCATTTCTTTACAACATCTATAAACTCCATTAAATTAACATAGCTTACTCATCACATTGTTAAGGAACGTCTCCAATGCTGCAAATTGTGAATGGCTTAAACTTGGACATTTTAATCCCATTTTGTGCACTCGTGCAAGTATATTACTAATAGGCTCAAGATATTTGACTAGCTTGGTATTTGAGGTAAAAGCAATATAAGAGTCATACACAATAACAATATGTCTCATGAAGTTGATTTATATTGCCAACCAATGGCATCCTTGAAGATTATATGAGACATACACCTTCCGAATTTTGGCCCATGGCTGCGCATACCCATGTTGCCATGAACTGTGCACAAAGTGATGTATCTTTCTTAGGTAGGTAGGTGGAAGGTCAACAGTAAGTTTCTTTGCAGGCGGTCTTACCGACTCTAAAAATTGCTGCAAACAATTTTGAAAACACATTACATAATTAGGAACTAGTGCACCAAACATAAGCAACCACAATACTCCCACCAATTCAACCCCAGCAATTAATTTAACATGTACACATTCTTACCTACAAACAATACTCTGCAGTTGTCCAGTTGATTCCAAACACCAATGGATGAGAAAGTTGTCTTTTCCGTATTAGAAACGTCGTCATGTCATGTGTTGAAAGTTCAGGTAAATAATACCACCTCAATTTAATACAAATGTACACATAGCAAGGTGAGAAAAGAATTGAATTATCCTAATAAAGTAGGGTTGAAACTGTTACCATGGAGCTAATCCATTATGTATCATCAATAAATTTGTAAAAAAAAGTATATGCCAACTGAAGATGCTTTGAGTTGCACCTCCGCACTAAAATAGGCAAACTTCTAAGGGTCAATTTTGTAATCATTCAACAATTGAAACATTGTATAATATGAGAAAGATAGTACAAATACAGACATGTATATTAAAGGTAGCTATATATTCTTATTCTAGATGACTGCATACTACAAAAACATGTATATTGGTTTTCCAAGGTTAAAAATCGTAACCTTATATTGGTTTTCCAAGCAGTGCAAAACTTTATTACTGCCTTGACATCGTCAATGGGCACGGGTTTTGTTGGATCAAAACATGGCGGGGTTGCAACTGCATCCGAAACAGTAATCGTCCTTTTTTCCTCGAGGGATCAGTAAATGGACTCAACAATGTAGTTGCCAGCCGCTTCTTTCTGCACCTTTTACCTTCCACATCTTGTTATTCAATCGTGTCACTACCTTCCTTATTCACTTCATCACTAGCCACAATAACATTGGTTATGATGGGAGGCTTCATCTGACCTCCCAACGCCGTAATGTCACTTTTTTCCAATCCTCTAATAAAGATAACAGTTTTTTGCAAATTACTCTGCCTCCATCTAGATGAAGAAATTCATTACTAAACTTGGAGTGGTTCCAAGCATTGAGTCACCAGTCATTTTATTTTGTGACAACAATGAGGTTATAGCACAAGCCAAGTAACCAAGGTCTTATCAAAGATCCACGCACATTCAGAAGCACTATCACTTAATCAGAGAATATGTTGTTGATGGAGATATTAGCATGCTCAAGGTAGCTTCAGCAGACAACATAGCATATCCACTCACAAAGTCTATGAGTCAGCTTTAGCTGGACCGACACATGGAGAAGATGGGTATTAGATACATGTCAGATGGTTTTAAACTGTAAGTAGGAGATTGTTAGAAATATGCCCTTAAAGCCAACTAATTATGTAATAGTTAGAGTTAAGGACATCTTTGATAAAAGACATATTATGTTATCAATGGGCAAGAAAGGTTGTTTTATGCATTAAATCATCCTATATTATCTTTCAATATGTAGAACAACCATAGTTTAGAGAATACACAAGTGGATATGATATGAGACTTCTCATCATCCCTAAATCTTGAATATGTTTCTGGTCACAGGAATATTGATTGGGTGTTAAGATTTCGGAAAGACCAGTACACACAGTATCGTCTCTATATGTAGGGAATGACAAGGTCTCAAGTCATTAAGTGTGGAGATAGATCGATATATGTGTAGGTGCTTGTAAAAGAAAAATTGCACTAAACGCGATCCAACACATGAGTTACAACATGGAAGTCTTTACTCACATGTAAGTTGGAACTCATAAATTGCAATTGTGCAAACTAATCCTTAAACCTGAGGCATCATAGATGTTTTGTGGCTATGTTGTTAATCTTTAAGGGCACTATACGGTCATGCTGAATTAGGCATAGCTTAAAGGTGCTCATCAGGATTCTCAATAGAGACATGAAAGCAAATTAATGTATAACAAGGAATCTCTACTCTTAGTAAAGGAGAGAGAATACTCAAATATATGATTGGTCAAATCTCTAGGCAGAGTAGTGGATAAGACTTAAAAGAAGAAGCCTTCAAATCTTACCAGGACAATCATATAAAAGGAATGATTCATATTAGGATATTGACAATCGGATTTCATGATCTAATAATGTGAATAAGGAGTATTGACATAGGGAAGGATTCAATTGTACGGTCATTCCAATTTGAATAGGTTCTTTCACAACATCTCATTTAGCTCGAATAACCGTGACTTGCTGCTAGGCGACAACCATGGTTTGTGGATGTCCTAAAAGGTTTCAATTAACCTTTATTAATAGGAAGAATTAAATTGTGGAATTTAATTCGCATATCATCTCTGAGGAGTTGAGTCAACTCACTACCTTGCTAAAGGGAACCTACGAATCTGTACACACAAAGAATGTGATTAGAGGTACAAATGAGGAGAAATGAAACGAGGAGACATAAGTCAATGGTTGATAATCAAATGTCAAAGTCAGCGGTCAAAAGTTAACATGTTGATCGAAGCAATTGACCAAAGTCAAATAGTTCGACTAGGTCAAGTAAGACTATAATTATAATTTAATAGTTAAATTATAATTAAAAGAATAATTATGAAATTAATATTGACATATAGAAATATTAGATTGGGCTTTTAAATATGATTTAAAAGGAAAGGGACAAAATAGCCCAAAAGGCTATTGGGCCCAAGGAATAAGTGACATAAGATGAGATGACCCATGGACTAAATGGAGCCCCAAATACCCACCTAATTTCCTTTTGTGTTGTCCTATATAAGCTAAGTGTTGGAGAAAACCTAGTTAGGATTTTTGGTTTTCTACTTTGGTTAATGAGTGATCATCTTTGGATCTCATCTTCCATAAACCAAAAATTGGTCCAATCAACAAGTAGACTAGCATCCATATTTCTTGATTGCATTCTCTTCATCTATAGGAGCATTTGGTGTGGTGAGGTACAGGACTCCAACCTTGGACCTTAAGGTGAAGGAGTCAAAATCAAGGCCTTTCCAACAAAGGTGTTCATTCTTGAGAAATCAAGAAAAGGTTATCAAGGGTATAAGATCTATTCCCTTTTTCCTTTTTCTATTTGTGTTCAAAGACACTAGGCTAAGATATTTGGTTTAAAATGAAAAAGGTTTAGCTCAACTAGTATAAACAAAATGAACCCGCCATTTAGAATGTTTTTGTTGTATAGGTTGTGGCTAAAGTTCATTTCATAAGCAGTAGATGCATGTTTCCTAAGCATTTAGAATGTTTTCGGAGTAGAAAGCTTCTCATCTTCTTGCTGCGGTTGTTTGTCAGGAACTGAAGTGTCCATTTCTGCCCTTTGGACTTGCATGGTTGCGAAGGCTTCGGGGCCATCACCAGGGACTTGTGCTTCCATTTCAGTCGATTTTGTAGTTGGAGTAATATATTCCTATAAGGGCAACATGTCATTCTCACCTCTTTCATTGATATGAAGACTACACACTTCTTCATGTCCTTCAACATGTTCAATCAACACACCATATTGTTTTTTCAACTTCTCTATCTCCAACTTAAAATAGTGTTCCACTGAAGTAAGGGTCTTGCTGAAATCCTCCATCGCCTTTTTATTTGAAGACTCATTCTCTACCATCCCTTCCAAGACACGCACTCTCTTCCTAAGCACTCGATTTGAAGTAGCTACCTTTGCTGACTCATCCTTTTTGCTTTGTAACTGACACTTCAAACTGCGGAACTGAGTCAAAGAGAGTTTATCATGCATACAGTTATAATGCAACTATTACCAAGCTTAGAAAATATAACAGGAATACTGTCATTTTATTGTTATCATATTGTCCATTGACTATATACAGATTATATATCAGCACCATTAAGTTTATTATTACCTATATATAGCAAAAACATGCTCACCTTAGAAGATGAGGGAAGGGTAGTTGTTTCCTCAACTTCCTCTTTTTTTTTCTTCAATGGAAGTGCTGGTATTTTCTTGGGCCTCATCGTCAAACAATTCAATAATTTATTCATTGTTTTCATCATCATCACCCTAAGTCCAATAAAGTTGTTGCTTCTCAATTAGAGTGGGATGGACAAGTTTCACATCAACCTCCAATTTAAACACAAAAAAATACATATATGCATACCATAATCATTACGAACTTAACCAACCTCAAATTTTTTGAATACTTGACTCATTAGCTGGTGAAAACGCGCCGACATATTGCTTCTCTAATGTAATATACGGGGGATGTTGGCATTGTCTTCGTGCACAACGAAATGCAATGCTGCCAATGCCGGGAACACTTCAAAAGCCCAAATATGTCTTGAACAATAAACATCAATCATTGTAAACAAATTAAATTGAACTTAAACATTTATGGATACTTGCTCACCTGAAGTGCGAAGCCAAACCCTTTTATGTGGTACTCTTTTGGTCTACCACTTGCCTTTGTTGTGTTAATTCTTTTCAGATTGTTTTAGTTTTTGTAATTTTTTAAGGCACTTTAACTCAATCGTAATCTGCACAAGGTGCCCTCAAAAGTGATGCATTTGTCTTCGAATATGAAACAACACCCTGTGGATACTTTTCAAACTCTTCAAGGTCTTCCGCCAACTTCAAATACCGCATGTCAATGTTGACATGTTTTTAAGTACCCAACAGTGCAAAAACACCAAAACATAGGAATTCAAGCTTGACCACATCCTCCTCATCAGGACAGTCGTTGCAGCTTTTTCTAGTTCCGAAAGAATCACACCTTTATTGTGGCAAAAATATTTCTTCTTCAATGAGTAGTTTTTGTTAGTCACAATCGGAATGAAAGGGAGGTTTCCGAACCTTAGCCCTGTGGTGGCAAAATTGTTGTGCCGTGAATTGTATCAGCTTACTACCAACAATGAATTTTATCCTGTTGACTTGTGTAACTGTCTTCGGATCAGCCTTCCTCAACAACAACCCGTGGACAATTTGTGAAGTCCACTTTAGGTCTTCAATCAATAATAGATGACCAAAACAACTCCCCTGCAACCTTTGTCCTTGTTGTAGACTCAACTTCGCCTTAATTGTATTGATAGCGGTCTTTGTATGGGAAACGGACAACGTCTTTCCTTGCAACTTTTGATCTTCAGCAATCATCAGCTTTACTTTAGAAACCATAATTCCCTGCACACCAACATTATACATATGGATATTACATACCAAAATTTGATACCTACATTACTGAAACGAATAATTTCAAGTCATTGAAATATATGTATATACATAATAACAAAGCAATAAACACACAATACGGAGGTAAATCAAGGCAATATGCACAAGATATATCAGTTATAACAGTTTAATAGAGGGGCAATACATAAGTTGTATATTCACTAATGTGTGCCATGACAGAAAAAATACAAATTCCTTCTACCTACCAGAAGTTGTTGATCCAATTTCCTTCTCTTATATTTTCTCTCCTTAAGGCTTGCTCAAAAATGTCAGAAATTCCATTTGATACATCATTTCCATTTATAATGTTATCTATAAGATAGTGTTCGGTTCATTGGATTAAACTTTGGAATGAAATGGACATTCCCATCAACTGTCAATCCCCCGAAATGTGAAATAATACAAATTGCACTATGTACCAAATTTCAGTTTCTTATCTACTCTCGAACTCTCTCCACACTCCACTCTTATCTACATTCTATTTTACCAAATTTGGATTACATTCCATCTAGAAACTGAACACCACCAGTGTCAAAGGGATTTCATGCCCCAGGGATCAACTTGATATAGGGTTTGGGAGAAAATGATAAAAGAACTAGCCCAACTGCATCAATGCCTCCTAAAATATACTCATCACCATATTGATGTACATCTATGTAATAAAAAGGAACACATGAAATACAATACAAATGGAACATCAAAAGAAAAATTATGGACTCTGCCTGTATAGCATAAATGGCTATGTATGTACAAACTAGAGACATCAAAAAGCTACTGCAACTGCAAAGCAAACTATAAAGATTCATGTGGCTAATGTAGATACTATAAATGAACACCTACAATTTCTCTTCTTTGGATGAAAGAAAACCACAAAGAAACATAGAATCCAATTGCATAAATCGCCAAAACCATTTAAACCATAATAAAACGGGAATAAAATTACAATAAACAAGCAATACAACATCAATACAACAACAAAAAACAAGAATACAACAGCAATACAACAACAAAAAACAGTAATACAACAGCAATACAACATGAATAACAATAGCAAAACAACAATAGTAAACAAGCAAATCCCAAATCAAATGCAAGAATTAATCGACAAAGAACAAACCCATTCACTTGTTTCAAACAATGAATCATCATAATCAGACAATACAAATCTACTACATCAAATGAAAAATCTCAAGTTTCAAGATTCACATATCCAGAGCAATCTAAACCCATTTGGTGAAAACCCAGACGGACGAGCATGAAGATTCAAAGCACATAACCCAGATCAATCAAAATAAAACTAATTTCAGATAAACCCACAAAGATTAAGAAAATAACCATTGTTGTAGAAATAGCAACCTAACAATTAAGCAACTATATGCACGTTTTAACTCGCAAGTGCACAAGATCAAACAAATAGTATGGAAAGCAAATACGAGATCATTCCCACGAGGATTGGATTAATATGTGTTTAAAATTAATTTCCTAGAACTACTAACAAATGGCACAAACTAAAAATGGAAAAGTGAAAGAAAATCCTAAAAAACTTATTTCAAAGCCCTAAGATTTCTAATCAAAAGGATGATTTTAAGATGATTTTGAAAACTGAAAATTTCGAAACAAAATATTAAAAACAGCTTTCGATTAAAAATAGAATTGGATTGAGGTTAAAACAATGAGAAAACTAGTTAGGGATTTGATGTTCACTGCTAATCTTCTTCCTTAAGCAAACGACGTGCACAATGCTACAAAACAGATTTTAGATGCTCATGTTTGTCAACCTAAATGCATGATATCTACTCTTTAAATTATTGATTTCCCTAAGCAATAAGTTAGGCATGGGTATCTACGCTAACTCTTTTCATTCTTAAAGTGTTTAGCATGGTATCTACTAAGTTGCACTTTAAGAACGCATAATACAATGGAAATCTACAAACACATAACTCCTAGAACATGGTACCTATTCTAGTTATTCATGATGATTAATTTCAAGAATTTATAACTAGTTCTTTTGTTACTCTCATAGGCACAAGACTTGGTCATCTAAATTTACCTATGTAACAAACTGAATACACATAATGCATATGGTGATCAAGCAAAACATAACGTATGTAAAAAGTAAAATATAATATGAAATTAATCAATTAAGCATCACAAAAGTAGTTTATAATAAAGGCATATCAAAATCCTTAAAGAAACATGATTAGGGCTTCAATCAGGCCCTAACTAAAGTACTTAGTTAATTTAAATAGACAGCAAGAACATACAAAACAGAAAATAAAAAGAGGAAGAAGATAGCTCTTTGATGATGTGTTGGTCAGCCAGAGTGATTGGATGACGCCTTGACGTTCTTCCTTGCTTCCTAACTCTTTCAGACATTGGAACCTTGAAGGATGGAGGAGAATGGGATGGTGTGGCTGCCCTCTTCTTCTCCTTTATTTTTTCTATTTTTACGACTCAAAAATCAGATCATCTCTCGCACAGCAGCCGCTCCTTTCTTTCTTTTCAAAAAGAGTTTCTTGCTCATTGTATTCTCCACGTTTTTTAAAACCTACATATTTGTTTGATTCAGACATATAAACCCCTGGGAAATAGAAATATTCCTCATTGGGCCAATTGATGTGATTTGGGCCTCAAAACTTTGACTTCAAAAAAGATTGCAAATTCTCGCGTAGCCCGAACTATCTGTACTAAAACAACCATAACTTCCAAGAATATGTGGCTCAGCTTCTGGTTCTTCTTAATTAGTACAGTATAATCCGTAAACTTCAATAATCTACACAGGCCTTTCAAACTTAACTTTCTCTTTTTAGCTCATTTTCCACAATTTGTTTGTGATTACTTAAAAAACTAATAAAAGAATGTAAAACCTATATAAAAGAGTAAAATAAAGGTGTAAACACGGAGAAATATCATAGATAAATGTCAAACTTATGAGCACATCAACCATCAAGACTAAATGCAGGAAACCAAAACAATCAACAATGAGAGACCTAGAAGACAACCTTTTGGAGGTCGGCGATGGAGTTGAGCTTCGAGGTTGCAAGCAACTGGGATCTTAGGCGATTCGGAAGACAAACCTAGAAGATGGGATTGAAGGGGAGTTTCGCGATTCAGAAGAGAGAGATGGGAGGATGAGATGGGTTTTGCAGAGCTACAGAGAGTGCTGGGAGACGAAGAGAACTGCGAGAGAGAGAGAGAGAGAGAGAGAGAGAGAGAGAGAGAGAGAATTAAGAAAAAGTGTTATGTGGGCAATAAGTGGACAATATGTATTTATAAGTTGTATTTGCAAAATATGTGGATAAAGGTGGTATTTGCAGATTAAGTTTGGATTGTAGTGGCATTCAGCGGTATTTCCCTTAATTTTATTTCATATTTTCAAAAAGTAAAATAAAAAATAGCTGGTTCATTTCATACAAAGATATATAATAATGCCACGCGTCATTATATTACCATCTCCCTCCTCCCGTGGCGATGACCCACAGAAACAACGGTAACCATACAAAACGGCCGTTCAACTGATTTTTCCGAAACTCTTAGCGCCAAACAACCAAAACACAGAAAAAGGTTCAGAAAACACGCACAACAAAAAAACGCTTCAAAATTCCAACTTATGATTTCCCTCACTCCCACTCCCTCTCTCGTCCTCCACACAAACTCTACCGTCTTCTTCGTCTTCCCAATTCGAACTCGCAAAACGCCGCCGAGCCCTAGCAGCCCCTCCAGGATCCGATGCTCTTCGGGTTCGGGCTTGCAGGAGGTCCGCAAGTCCTCGGAGGAGAGAGAGCTGAGCTCCGAGCTCTACGCGTCGGTGCCGTTCCCGGCGGTGAAGGCCGCGAAGAGGGTGGTGCTGGTGAGGCACGGGCAGAGCACGTGGAACGAGGAAGGTAGGATCCAGGGGAGCTCCAATTTCTCTGTGCTCACCAAGAAAGGTGAGGCTCAGGCCGAGACTTCCCGCCTCATGCTCGTCGACGATTCTTTCGAAGTCTGCTTCACCAGGTTCGCTTCTGCGATTTCCCTTGGTAAATTCTTAAGAATTTTGACTTTCAAGCTAATTACTTATCTGAGGTTTGTTTTAATTAAA